TCAGGGCTACGAGGAGAATCTTTCCCTTTGGGAAGCACCCAGTACCTGGAGATAATCTCCTTTTGATTCAGAACCAACATATCTGGGATCTTAATTATTACATCTACAACATCCCTTTCATCTTGGCATATAACTAACATAGTTGTGGGGATGACATCCATCACCTCTGTCATATTCTATTGGTTAGAAGCAAGTCACAGGTCCTACCCACACTCAAGGGGACGGAATTACACCAGCCTGTCACTCAGTGGGAGTCACCCCACTCCCACTGTGTCTGACTGTGTCTGCTGCAGTGGGCCAGGCTGGGAAGCTGCTCACCACACATGCAGAGATGGCACAGTGTAGTGGGAAAAGGCCAGGCCTTGGCCACACTGAGGTTCAGATGCTGGCTCCAGAAATTTAGTGGATATTTTAAACCTTGGGCAAGCTGCAAAACCTCTCAGCCTCCATTCGACCACAACAAGGGGGAAACAACACATAGAGTCTCTAGAGGGGTTAAAAAAGGCAAATGCATGTAAAATCACATGACAGTAGAGCAGACACTCAAACCTTAGTTCTATATGGAGGAACTCATGACTTAAAACCTAGATAATACAGGGGCAGGCGAAAGTAGGTTTACAGCTGTGAGTACACAAAATACAGAGCTTATTCTTGTATTATTTATTATTGTATTATTTTCCACATGAACAACTGTAGTCCTACTTTTGCCACCCGGTATTAATAGTTTCTTCTTAGGCCTTCCAGCAGCCCTGTGCACAACACATGAAAATGCTTGATAAACACTATGCACACACTGCCTGTTCAATACCCCCGTGAGGGGTTTTCCCCACTCCAGCTGACTTCATCTCTGGGTGAAACTGTTACTAGCACCCGAAACTGTCACATCTCATAGCACCTTTTAGATCTGCTACCGTGGGCCCACCAACAAGGAGCCAAATGGGTAAATTATGGTACAACCCCATAATGGACTCGTGTGCGGTTATCACAACATCATTTTCAAACAAGGTTTAATGACATGGAAAACTACGGTGAATTGATAATGAAAAAGAAATGACCCCAAATTGTCCTTTTATGAGCTCAAGACCTGGACTCCAACTTCCTGGCCCCAAACCCAGCTTCACTATGATTTACGCCTTTGGATAAGTTACCTAACCCCTCTGCGCCTCAGTAAAATGCAGGTAAAATGCAGACAGGACCTACCCATCATGAGGCTCAAATGAGGCGACACACCTAGCCCAGTGGCTGTCACCTAACTCAATGAATCACAGACGCTATCATTATTATTACTGGTACTGTTTTTATAATTTGAGAGGAAGAATTTTTTTAAAAAAGCTTTCATAAATAGCATTAGCATTGCTGCTGTCTTCTTAGGGAAATAGAGAAACCCTAAGAGAAAGAAGTGAGTAAAAACACGCGGTCATACTATATTTAGCAATTCTTTCTGCTTCCAGAAGCTTCCAATGTACTCTGTGCCCGAAAGCATTGAATTAACGGCTCCTTCTCCCCTTGCGTTTCCCTCCTGAAGGATCGTTTTCTCCATCTTAAAGATGAGGATGACACGCTCAAGTTTCACAGCAAGGCTTTCTGTGGGCAATCTGTATAAACCACTCCACAGCTGACTTCGCTCTTTCTCTATCCATCTGTCCTTCTATCTAAAGTTAAAAAAAAAAAAAAGAGCGTGGCTGTCCCAGGGAAAGGAAGAGTGATGTCACTGCCACTTCTGTGTAAACACAGACCAGGGGAACAGCTTTCTCTGCGGGAGGCTGAGAAGCATCTCTGTTAATGGTTCCGCCAGCCAGTGGGACAAGAGGGATGGGCCGGTGGGGAGATTCTGTCCCACCCTCCTTTCCCCTCTGGCCTGAGTGACCAGCAGCCAGCACTAGGCTCGGAGCCAGGCCGCTGATGCCAGCGGTTGCCAAGGACCCCAGCGAGGAATGCCAGAGAATGAGCAGCGGGCGAGGGAAGCACTGAGCCAAACTGGTGACAAAGAAGGCGAGCATGTGGCAGGCAGCAGGTCAGAGGGAGGCTGTCACAGTGGGCGGCATGCCTGGGCCAGCCCAGCCAGGCAGATGGCAGGGGGAGGAAACAGATGGATGTCCAGTGGTGCCGAGAGCCAGGGACCGGGGCTGGAGGAAGGGAGCAGTGAGGCGGCCTTCCCTGACACAAGAATTCAAATAAAAACACTGACCCACACGGAGAGTTTCCCCCAGCTGAGATCTAGGATGGCCCTAGAGGGTCTTAGGACCCACAGTAACGCCAGAAAACTGTGGGACTCTCTCCAGACTGACGTGGGACCACGCACACACCTACACTCCACCCTGGCCCCGGTAGCCTGGCGGCCCCTTCAGCTAGTGGTGTCCTCAGTACCATCTCCTCTGAGCAGTGGTTCCCAATCTGGGGGCAGACGGTTATAGGGGTGCCCTGGAGGAGAATTCTTGCCAGTGGTTAAGAAATCCACACGCTTTGCAGCCTGAATAAATAAGGTCTTGCATCTGTGTGCCACTATCATTCTTCGAATGTTGCAAATGCTGGTGCCATGACTTAAAAACAAATGCATTTAGCCTGGCCGGTGTGGCTCAGTGGTTGAGCACCAGCCTACGGTCCAGGAGATCACGGTTCAAATCCCAGTCAGGGCACATGCCCAGGTTGTGGGCTCGATTCCCAGTACGGGGCATGCAGGAGGCAGCCGATCAATGACTCTCTCCTCATAGATGTTTCTATCTCTCTCCCTCTCCCTTCCTCTCTAAACAAACAAACAAGAGACAAAAACCCCACACAAGTGCATTTAACAGCACTGTGGAATTTTCTAGCCCATCTATGCCATTGTTCCTTTTCCACGTCACTGGACACCAAATATACTATTACAACTTAAAATATGATTCCTATCCCATTTGGCTCCTTGAAATTTCTGGATAAAGGGACACCCATGAATTTCCAGATTAAGTTAAAGAGTCGAAGCAATTGTTTAATGCCACCCTTCTCGGGAGGGCAAGAAGCCCTTCATTTTTTTCTGAAAAGTCACTGCCATTTATTCTGAGGAAGTATTTGCGGATTTGTATATCGGGACTTCTCTGCAAGGAAGCTCATCACAGCCTTGTTTGTGCATGGGCAGAGCTGGAGGCTCCTTGAGCCACGGGAAGGGGGAGAGGGCTGGTCACAAAGACCCTGGTACATCCATGACTGGCTACAACAACGCCGATAGTGGAGAGGGAGTGGAAGAGTCTATTTTCTTCTTTGTGAGTCTCAAAGTTTCTACAAGGAACAGGTATTATTTTTGTTATTAGGGATAAGGCCTATAACTTATTTTGTTTTAGTGTTTTCATCTTTATTTGTTTGACCACTGATGGAAAATAGTTTCTTGCTCTTGGATCAGGACTGGGTTGGAGTCAAAGAACCTTGGCAGTGAGGTGCTTTGCTGCCCTTAGCTCTCTAGCTTACAGGAAACAGGACATGGGTGTGCAGATTGCATTTGGGAACCAAACTGGTGCTCCCCTGCTACACAGATCTAAAACACAACATGGAAGAGTGGGCCGTTCTGGGTTATGCTGGGTCATTTTCCACTCATATGTCTGTTCACAGCTAGACCAGAGGCTGACATCATCCACCGTCTAATTCCATTTGGGAACTGGGCTGTAAATTGCCAAAACGTAGCCCATGAGTGCCCTGGCCTCCTCCCCAGACTCACACACCCACTCAGGTTCCACCCAGCCCAGCTAGACTCCTTCAATCTTCTTTCAGACAAAACATCTCTTTAGGACATTAAGTATTTGCAATGCCCTCATTACTATCCTGAAATGAATAAAATGTATTTCTAATAGATCCTAATCCCTGCAACAACCAAGAGAGTTTCAACAAAGTTCCAAAATGACCCCCAGGGGGGCAGTGAAGCCCCAGCGGTGGGTTGATATTGACATCATGCTTCCCTGACAGGGTCTGGCACACTCTCATGATCTGGCAGGCCCTGGAAGGTCTGGTCCCTGTGTATTTCTCCAGTCTCATCCAGCCTCTCCTACCCTTGTTCCCTCCACTCCAACCGTAGCAATTTGCCTTCCTCCAGGCTCAGAGCCATTGTCTGTGTCATAGAGAATTAACTAGGCGTCTGACCTTTCTGGGGAATAAGGAAGGGCTTCTCCGAGGAAGAGATATTTAAAGAATGAGGAAATAGCATTACCAGAAGTTCACTGTCAGTACTTCATCCGATTTCCTGCTGAATAGTATTCCATTGTATGGATATATCACATTTTATTTATCCATTCATCAGGTTATAGGCACTGGGTTGTTTCTACCTTTTGGCTGTTATGAGTAATGCTGTTATGAACCTCGTGCACAAATTTTTGTGTGGACATGTTTTCATTTCTCCTGAGTATATACCTAGGAGTGAAACTGGGGGATCATACGGCAACTCTGTGTCTCATAGTCTGAGGCCCTGATTGCCAGATTGTTTGCCAAACCGGCTGTATCCATTTGACAGTCCCATGGACAGTGTAGGAGGATTCTGATTTCTTCGCTGCTTGGCATGATGCCTTTTTTATTGCTGCCACTCTATTCGGTGTGAAGTGAGTGGTATCTCACTGTGGTATCGATTTCCCTACTTCTATTAACTTCAGTCTTCTGGGGATATGAGAAAGTCAGGCCTAGGTGGGCCCCACCTCTGCTGCCAACAGCTGTGTGACTTTAGTGCCTCAGACTTTCCACCAGTGTCCTCATTTGTCAAACACATTACTTCACTGGATTCTCAAAAACATCCAGTAACACATACATGGTATACAGTATGCAATTCCTAGCACATCAGCAAGAATAGGAGGCTCGAAAAATATAGCTACTAACAGCAACAACAAAAAACCCAGTCCCTTAGAGCCAACAATTGTGACTATATCTCTGGTCTAAAGAGGAAGACCCAAAAAACCTAGACCATCATGGCCACAGGATTATAAGGATTCACTGAAACGACACGTCAAGTACCAGCATCCACTTAGAAACTCAATTTCTATTTTTCTCACCTTCTCATTTTCTGACAGTGGTGGACTCAGGAGAGGCCCAATGCAAAGAAAGGAAGCTGTTTTCCAAAGGAAGGACCTTTTCAGCAATTTCTTAAGGTAACGTGTTGACAGGTCCATTGAGCAGACCATGATGAAGACACTTCAGAGAAAATTTAGGACAGAAGGGTCAGCATGTTCAGGATGCAAGTGAGACATCAACGGTCAAGACGAGAGCCCCATAGAATGCCCAAAGGGTGACACCATTTTAGCTGCTTCCGCCCTCCCCCAATGTTAAAACCTGGCTATGCATTTTCCAACAAAGACAAGTGAGCACCAAACACCTAAGGAGTTACCCCAGAAAACAGGAGGGGGAGGAGAGTGGGGAGCAGTCAGACAAGAGGCGCAAGTAGACAGTCCTAAATAGTCTCTCTGCTGTAATACGACCACCCCGCAAGGGCAACTTCACTCCCAGGGGATCTGCTCAAATCAACCAGCAGCCACAGGGAGCTCCCCAGGGAGGGAAGAAGGTGTGACAATCCCTGGGCATGGTTTTGTGAGGGGCACACAGAGAAGCAATTCTCCAAATCTTTGTTGTCTTCTTTGGAACAGGCCCCATCAATGTCACCTGCAACCTGGCACAAAGGCCACGGGCGAGAGCTGAGGAGCTTAAAATGAAACAGATTTCTCCTCTCCAGTGTTTGTCCACCAGTCTCATAGACCAACACGGAGTCTTCTCAACCCTGTTCCCTTTGTCCGTCAAACTCATAGACCACGATGGAGGCTTCCGATCCCAGCCTTTGCCCACCATCATTTGACTAACGTATGTCTTCCAGTGCTCAGGTAAACCCTGTCTCACTCCATCCATCTTTTAAGGATGGGAGGTTAACTGGTCCCCTTTATTTGGCTGATCAGATCCCTCTTAGTCTGAACCCCTCCCCACCCAAATGCCTTGCTCAAAATCAACACTGCTTAGTACAATTTTTTGTTAGTAGTGGCTAACATGCCTCTACTTCCTAATTTTTGGTCCAGAGCGACACCATTCTTAGAGAAAAGGGAACTCAGTCCCCTTCCCTTCAGATTTAGCCCAAGCAGGAAATGAGAGGCCCCTCTACACACACCACAATAACAGTGTTACGAATCTATGGAGAGCTCGCACCCCGTGTCCAGCTCCCTGGGGCTGGTCCACCTCAGCGGGCCCCAGCTGCTGGGGCTGGTCCACCTCAGCGGGCCCCAGCTTCTGGGGCTGGTCCACCATAGCAGGCCCCAGCTGCTGGGGCTGGTCCACCATAGCAGGCCCCAGCTCCCTGGGGCTGGTCCACCTCAGCAGGCCCCAGCTGCTGGGGCTGGTCCACCATAGCAGGCCCCAGCTCCCTGGGGCTGGTCCACCTCAGCGGGCCCCAGCTGCTGGGGCTGGTCCACCTCAGCGGGCCCCAGCTTCTGGGGCTGGTCCACCATAGCAGGCCCCAGCTGCTGGGGCTGGTCCACCATAGCAGGCCCCAGCTCCCTGGGGCTGGTCCACCTCAGCAGGCCCCAGCTGCTGGGGCTGGTCCACCATAGCAGGCCCCAGCTCCCTGGGGCTGGTCCACCTCAGCTGGTCCACCTCAGCGGGCCCCAGCTGCTGGGGCTGGTCCACCTCAGCTGGTCCACCTCAGCGGGCCCCAGCTTCTCAGGCTGTGGCCTTGTTCCTGTCCCCACATCCCTCTTCAAAATGACCACTCCCCCCTTCACCATTCTTGCTGCAAACACTACAATGAGTGGAGAGTCACAATCCGCACAGCCCGGTTTCAAAACAAAACAATCGAGAAAGGTATTTTAAGATTAAATTTTTTTAAAAGAAGAAAAAAATAGAAGGGAGAAAGAGTGGGGAACAAGAGAACAGGCCGGGCAACATCTGTCCTGGTGGAAGACCCCTGTGCTGGTCACACTCACGGCCCAGACCTTGGTCCTGGTGGCTCCACAGGTGACCCCCTCAGGCGACCCCGCTTCCCCCGCATAAGTGCGGACTCCTCAAAACAGGCCTTCCTCGGCGATCGCCTGGCCCTCCCTCTGAACCCGCGAAGGCAGGGGACCAGGGGTCCCCCTCTCCGCCG